CACTCTACTCATTATAGTCTCTTCTTGTAATTGTTTTTAAAAGGACATGTACTCAAGTTGTTATCTAACATGCTTGATGCTGTTGGCTAATAATACAAATTCAATATGTCCAATTAAAAAAAATGATTAAGTAGGCCTGTGTTGCTTTAGCCTAAATGCCAACACACAACGGGATTTCCCGCTAACGTGTCGGTATTTAAAACTCGCGCCTTACCTGGCACAAAGGAGCGCCAGATTTAGAAACATTCAATATGGCCGCTATAAGACTGTCGCCAGTAAAAACGTTTTAATAATTTGTCACGTAAGTAATCGGAATATTAAACATTTAATGTACGTCTTTTAACAGTAAAAAAGGTAATATACATTGAATGAAAAAGCTGTATGATGTTTAAAAAACATCATTATTAATTTATGAGTATACATAATTTAAACGTTTAGAAAAGAACAAGATAATTTGCGAGACATGTTTCATTTCATGCATTTGGTTGTATGTTAGTTTTTTTTTACTTATCTATTAGAACCCGAGATTACTTATACGCGTGAAATGTCTAGACTCACGGAATAAGATAAATTACACCTTTAACGCTTCAAGACTTACGGTAAAAGATTTATTATTTATTAATGTCGTAAACGTAAGTGATTTCAAATGTCAAAGTCCAGATCTTGATGAAATAACACACGGCGTACTTAAACTGCAGTTGCGTCGAATTTGTGGCTATGGTCTACGCCATATGTAAAGTGACACGTAAGATGCATATTATGTTTACACTTAAAAGACTGCCAATAAACGAAATAAAAAGCTGCTCAAATCCTTCAGTACAGAGATCTAATATGTTCACGTGATCTACACTAAACAACTGTCGCATGTTAAACGTCAGCAGACGTCCAAATATGGGCGGACATTGACAAGTAACGTCTGCTAACGTTAATAAAAATGGACAGATAATTTTCTTGAAGTCGTTTATTTTTAAACTACCTAGATAATAGAAAACGTTGAATAAAACAATGAAGATTTTGAACGGGTGTCATTGTCTTAACACTGTTGATGTCTGTGCAGGGGCGTAGCGACCCTTCCCGGCGCCCGGGGACAAACTTTTCGATTTGCACCGCCCCGTCAAGATTTTGATTTGCACCCCCCCCCCCTCAAACTTTCGATGTGCACCCCCTCCCCCTTGGGGGTCGGCGTGGTCGAGTCGGTAAAGCTCATGGTTGCTAAACCGAAAAGTCTCGAGTTCGAACCCTCGGGCAGATGAGGCTCGTTAGCTGGGGACAGCCACTCTTCTAGGAGAGACAACTCCAAAATCAAACAACTGCTGCCTTGTAGTTTGTTCTTGGTTGGACAAAGGCTATGGAAGCAAATCCAAAAAGAAAAGCAGGCTGAAATCGGAGTCAATGGCCTCAATGGCGCATAACCAGTTGACACGTAACGCTTAATTGTGTTGGAGGCGTGGTCGAGTCGGCAAAAAGCTCATGGTTGATAAATTCGAACAAAGTCTCGTGTTCAAACCAACTGGCAGATAAATCTCGATCCCCTTCAACACTAATAATTAAGAACGAAGAAGAAGAAAAAGACCCCCCCTTGAGATTTCCATTTGCACCCCCCCCCCCTCCCTCAAACTTTCGATTTGCACCCCCCTCAACCTTTCAATTTATTTTTCCAACCCATGTTGGCGCCCCCTGGGGTCGGTCCACCCCCCGCCCCCCCTCGCTACGCTACTGTGTCTGTGGCATATTTGACTGTACATTTGAGTTACCTACTACAATACTTTCATTCTGCACGTGTATCAGCCACGGAGATACTATATTATAATATACTGCATCATTTTATTTGACTACAGGCCGTAAACCCTTGCCAGTGTCAAGTGGTCATCGGACCTGGTAAAAAAACATTATCAATCTTATAAGGCTGTAAACTCTGTGCTGTGAATTGCCACTTAGTCATCAGACCTTAATGATGCTACATCTAAATATACTCTTTGAATTGCCACTTTGTCATCAGACCTTAATGATGCTACATTAATTACCTTTTAACTTAATCAAGTGTACAGCCATGGTTAAATTCTGATGTAGACAATGTGTCAAATCTTTGTGTTGTGGTTTATTTAACAGGAATTAACTTGGATAGTCTATATGACCACAACAGTATGGCCAGTTGAGAGGACCTCTCAACATATTTTACAGGTAATGTCCATTTTTTGGGGGAAAATTGGTCCTAAAAAATCTCTACTTGTATGCATAAATGCTATGGGCTCATGAAGTCCTTATGTTTGAACATTCTGTAGTTTGAAATGTTTACTAGATGAGTATCTTAAGATGGTGATGGTTGAGATGATTGTGACAGTTGGAGGTTGTAGATAGTTTGTCATGTTTTATGTTTGTCAAAGTTTAACAGCTAATGAAATGTTTACAGTAATAAAATTGTTTTATTTACCTGTACAGGTACACATGAAGTACAAGAATGTCTTGAAGGTCAAGCTGATATAGATCTACACACACCTGGAAAACTGTGAGAAAAATCCTGGCCGTAAAATGTTTAATCACAAAAACACAAAAACACAAAAATACGAAAAACAACACAAGAAAACAAAAACACAAAATAAAAACATCACGAAAACACAAAAACCCAAAAACAAAAACCACAAAAATACAAAATAACACATAAACGTAAACGTTAACTTAACTTGCGATAAATGGAAACACATAATTAATCAGAAATTCAATCTCATTAGCAACACAATTACTACAAACAATATTAATGCCTTACAACACTAAAAAAATGAAAATTCTGGTAGAAGTTTAGTGCTATAATTCAAACGTAATAAACAAGACTTAACAGAAACGTGTGATCAATTGAAGGCGACAGCAATATTTGGATCTAAAACAAACCTAAAAATAAAATTTGTACAAAATCATGAATGAAATCTATTTTAATGTATTATAACGTTTTTGGACAAGGGACTCTACCTTGATGAAGTTCTTCAATAACAATAATAACTAGTCATAACATTGATGATTTGGTATTTTAAATCTATACGACGTCTATGTGAAACAACAATGAAAATAATGGAATAACTATAGAACTATTGGTAACTTCCCCTGACGACAGTACGTTTTATTATTGTAACCACTTTAAAAAGTATTTTTATTTTTTAGACACATTAATTTGCAAAATAATATAAATAATACATTTCTACAGGTGGATTAATGTGAATATTTATTGTCATTAAGAAAGAGTGTAAAAACATGCAACTAATCATCATATATTCATTAATTTCTAGAATATACATTAGCTTTAGCATTGATATCCGCCTTCAGATTGCATGTGGCATTACCGGAAAGCTGGATTTCTCGTGTATTTGAAAATTGTATTTTAAATAATCCGGGTAACAGCCAACGTCTACAATCTGCTTTACAAATTACACAGATATGCTAATTCCTTGACCTATTTTTCGTTACTTTTTGCTGTTTTTCTCAGTTCTCAGTTTTTAACACTATAATACCTACTTTTTATTTATTTATTAAACATTGCCCACCAAATTTTCAGTAATAGTTCTTCATGCACAAATAAAACTTTTGTTACAATGGAAATGCATACTAAAAAGGGTACGATTTTTCAGACCTTGTAGAGTTCTGACCAATATCTCTTTTAAAAAGGTGTAGTTACAAAAGTTTTAAATAAGCTGTTTAAGTTTCATTGTTGTAAATGCATAAATAAAAACAGCGTTTTTAAAAGTACCAAAATGTTTAAAAAGTCGATGGCGTTTTCAGGCTTCAAATGACAACTAAAATTATTTTCAACCAATTCTTCGCTGTTTAATAATTACTTTCATGTGCCAACCATTGTAAAAGTATTCAAAAGGCTGTAGGTCTTAATTTGCAAAAAAACATAAATAAACTAAGCATATCCCCTTAATTCTGAAGTGTTATAACTATTATTGTTCAAAATGTATATCTTACAATAGTTAATTATAAGATACCCGTTTTTTATTATTTGCAGTTCTGTAGGTTCAAATTTTTAAAAGGCGATGCCCTCTTAAAATTTGCCATATGGACACATCTAACCTGTTTATATGAACTCATGAAATGGATAGTTATCCGTTTAACTACGGATGTTTCATAGGAGGTAGGTCATTCAAGTTTAATAATCGGCTGAAATTGCCCTAAAAGTTTAAGCCGACTGTCGCTAAAAAGTTCAAACCAATAGTGCTCTTATTACACGCACATAAGACGTCACACTCTCTTCATTCACGCGCATCATACATTTGAACAATTCATATTCTCGAATTACTTACATATATTATTGATATTTAATCGCTATTCCGTTTTGATTACAAATAAAACGGGAGTAATCTACGGTAAACTTTCTTGCTTATTCCTTTCTTAAAAATATAAATGAATCACGTGAATCAACAAATAAACATAAAAATATATATTTTATAGAGCTAACAATAAGTGCTTTATAAAGGAAAACGGTTATTTTCTGAAAAGTTAATCCAGCCAAATGTCACAATAAACTGTCAACGTGAAAAGTTTGAAAGAAATATGTCCAGTATTGTAATCGTGCACACAAATCATATGAAAGTTTGACGGTTTTTAACGATTTACTTCTCATTACTTCACAATATATGGAGTATAGAATACTTATTTTAATCAGGCAAAAATTATAAATCCATAGTTATCAAAATTTCGACGTTTTATGCGTAATTGAGTTGAAAAGAATAGGAGTTGCAATTCTGTTTGTGTGTGTGTGTATGTCTTTGAACACGATAACTTCATACAATTATCTGTCTTCTGTCAAAGTTTGAGTAATTTTCGTGCATCGGAAGTAGTATTTTACGCTATATCCTATTTCTCAATAAATGCATATGAATTAATAAAGTATTAATATTCCGCACTATTTTACACACATTGTTTGCCGTTAACCTGATGCGCAATTCTTTTTTCTACGAGATTCTATTATACTTTAAAAAGTTTAAGTATTTAAAAATGGATTAAATATCATGTCTGTGCTTCAGTTTGCCATTAAAGGTTTGTTTATTCCTCTTATCTAAGTACTTAATTTTCAGATGGACAATCGGAGCCAACAAATTGGAAACTTGGTCCAACAATAACCAAAACTACAAGCACAATAATTTCACTCGTGATAGATGTCAACAACCTTCACAAAGAAAAATTAGCTGTAAAACAGGCATTTATATCAGATGACGTTGACGTCACATGTTTGGTAAGAGATTTGCCACAAAAAATGTACAAGAATTTTATAGATACTTATTTTATATATATTCACATAGAAAACACGTGTATGTAAAATGTGTGATTAAAAGATTTGGTGGAAAGGGAAATCAAATATACCATGATTAAAATATTTACAGAAGGTGATCGATTCGGAACTAAAAGCTCGACAGAAAGTCAAACATTGCAGAATTCTTGAATATATTGATTATTGCAAGAGTGACAGAGTGTTTTCTTTGTTTCTACCTTATATGGAAAAAGTAATGCGGTTTAAAATGTATCTTTAAATACAATAATTATAACAGCCCTTCACATTGTACACCGCATTTATGACATATTAATTTAATGTAGTAAATATGCGGATTATATTGACTAAGAAATGTTTCGTACACTTAAGCTTATTTAACTATATTTTTAAAATAATGTATATGTAACAGAATTATAAATATTGCAGGGATCGCTGGCACGTTACATACAATCTCAAGAACTTAAACACCTGACAGAAAAACAGACAGCTTTGTTCACTTCACAAATACTTGAAGGTTTAGACTATCTTCACAGGCACAAAATTATACACAGAGATATCAAAGGTGGATGTTGTTTTTAAAAGACAAAACTGCTTACTAAAAAATTGATATAACGAAATAATAATTTTTATAATTCAAGTAAATACATGATTTATTTTTAAATTAAAATCCATACATGTACGAAGGTTACTTTTATAAAAGCAAATGTGCGATTTTCTTTAATCAGATGTATGTAATATAACTGTTTTTATTGTTTAAATTCACAGCTTCAAACATATTGATGAAAACAGATTTTGAAGTACAAATATCAGATTTTGGAGTGGCGAAGATTTTAAACACATTTTCCAAATCACATACAAAAGGAACTGGAACATGTCATTGGATGGCACCAGAAATACTTCAAGAAGTTCCATATGACAGTAAAGTAGATATATGGTATGTCATTTTTTCACACACAGCAAAAAGTTTACAAAGTTAAAAAATATTAATTACATAACTGAAATAGTTCATTTTAAAAATTTATTTTTAAATTTGCATTTTACAGGAGTCTGGGTTGTACGGTGTATCAGATGATTACAGGGAAGCAACCTTTTAGTGAGCTAACTGAGCAGCAGATGATTGTAAGAGCACTTAAAAATGAGCTTCAGTTGTCTTCTCCTGAACAAATATCCCTTAAACTCAAAGACATTCTACGTCTGATGTGCATGAAAAATCCAACAGAAAGACCGAATGCATCCGAGTTAATGAACCACACATTTATCACGGGTAAGTAAAGTTTTACTAACATGAGCAAGTGAACATGTTGAATGGCCACAGGCAATATGTTTTGTGTGCAGGTATTCTTATAATAGAGTATAATATAATAGAGAATGTTAATATAGTTTTTTTTTAAATAAACTCTATTTACATTTGATCTATGATTATCACATATCTATTTCTTAGTTCCTAAAAATAAAAATAAATTTTAAAATCTCTAATTAAAATTGATTTTATCCCTATCAGTTTGAATGTTTATATTTTGATGTGAAAAACAAGAATTAGTTTTGTATTAAAGATCAATTAATATGATGACACAAACATTTCAAGGAAACTAGCTATCCCTGAAAAACAGCGCTTTGAAAAGAAACTGTAAAGGGCCGTGACATATAGTTTCACCGTCAGTTAACTTAAATTACATGAATATTTAATGTTTAACCACATATCTTTTTTCGTTTAGGGAAAAACTAAGTTTCAAATTATTGTATTTAGTATTACGTTATGTATATTATTGACAAAGAGGGCGGAGTTCTCTAGCGGTAGAGAGCTGTACTGCTAACCCGTAAGTTAGTTGAAGAGCCGGATTTTTATTCCAAGTTTGAAACCGCCAGAACCCTTGCTTCTGTCCACCCAACTCTGATGGGTACCTAACTCACGTTAGGGAAACAAAGTCGGCTGGACATAGTGCTGAACACACTATCTTTTTATATGCCGATGTCACAGAAACAAGTGAACTCTACTTCACTTGCCCTATAGACCGTCAGGTTTGAAAGGAAAATTTAATTATATTATTTATATTAAACTAAAAGTCAAAAGTTTAAATATTTACGTTTTTTTTTTGCATGTCTCTTCCATTATAGGACAGCATCTGCATTATGTGTAGAACTGCGATCAACGTATTTATCCAGAGAATAATGTTCTTTTTCCCCCAAAGTGTTATTCCCTAATTTCTTTAAAGACGATGCTTAATTTATTGATATATTCATTTGTAGAAACACCCCTTTAAGTATAAAGGTTTAGAACAAATATTTTGTTTTCAAAAAAATTAAAAACTTTCACGTACGAAGGGATAGTTTGGTCAGACCCATGCTCAGCCGAATTCGGTGTTTTAATAAACATGTTTTCTACGGTGCAGTGTGTTTTCAAATGTGGGTCTGGCTTTTTTTGACGATGTGTTGCAGTAGGGAGGGGGGAGGGGAACAGATAAAAAACGTCAAGTCATTTATTCAGTGGGGAGAGGGAGGGGAATGAAAAAAATCGTCAAATAAACGTGACGTCACAATTGGATTCCCCCCCCCCCCCCCCGCGAAACTAACATTTAACCAAGGATAACGGGTAGTGTAGTTATTTTCTAAAAGTATTCAATATGTTATTGCTATTTGTTTCGATTTCATACAAAGCAATGCATACTAGTTATGAAATTTCTTAAAAAATAAAAACAAGATATACAATGCACATCATAATTAATTAAGCAGATAGGCAAAACAGAAAATGAATAATGAAATGCACACTAAGTTTCAAGAAATTATCTGTGTAAAAAAATATTGTAGTTACAATAAACAAAAATCTTAAAAAAACAAACAAACATGTTTTGTAAAAATTAACTATTAAACATTAAGGGGTATGCTAATTTAAATATCAACAAAATCATGTTTTTCGTCATGATGGGTTTTTTGCACTTTTGGATACTTTGTACATGTGTATTCAGAAAATAATAACTTTAATGAGAAAATATTTCTGTGTGTTTAAAATATCATTTTTATGACAATATTAATTAAAAATGTATGTTGCCCAAACTCACAAGCTCTCTACGAAACGTTTTATTTCCGCCATCATATTGTATTTGGAATTATTGGAAAGCTAGATTTATCATATAAATGATAAGCGTATTTTCAATCATCTAGGAAACGTTCAAAGCTTACAATCGGCTTTACAAATTACACACGTATGGTATTTTCGTGACCTTCCTTTCGTTACTATTTGTTGTTTTTTCTCAGTTCACAATTTTTTAACAACAAAAAAGCCAAATAATTTTTTATTTATTAAACAATGACCACGATATTTTCAATAATTGTTCTTCATGCAAAATACAAAACAATTGTCACGAAGGAATTGTGATGGCTTTCATCAAAACAAGTTTATAGTTTATACTTTGCAGATTTTGAAACTTTTGCATAATAAAAATGGTCCGATTTTTCAGATCTTGTATAATTCCGACCTGTAACTCTTTCAAAAAGTTGTCGTGAGAAAAGTTTTAATGTATACTGAAAAACAAGACACTTAAAATTAACTGCCACGAGTGCATAAATAAAAAAGGCTTATTGTTTTTAAAAGTACCAACAAATTCCAAGACAACCAAAATTGTTTTCAATATTTTTTATTCTGTTAAATACTTACATCTTTTCTTAAAAATTCTTTTTCTGTTTTTTTGTGTGACATTTGTTTTTCTACAATCCGATTTTAACCCTTTTAGTATTTTATTTCTGATCACTTCCTTTGTTAGAGCATTTTCATTTTGACGTGTATGATAAATAGTGAAAGTGTAATTATGCTCAATCCAATGATTATAGTCTTCATTTATTAGCTTCTAATTTTATTTTTACTGTTTTAAAATAACAATCTTTACTTTCTAAGGGGTCCTGTTAGGTTAGCCTGTCGCCCCGCCGCGGACATAGACAAGAGCTCTCTTTTCGTGTCTGGGCTAGTCTCTCCAACTGTACCCAGGTGTATCCAATCTTCTTGGTGTCTTCTTACAGGTCACGTCTCCAGGTCTTTCTTGGTCTGCCTCGCATCCTTCTGCCTTGTGGATTCCAGGTGAGGGCCTATCTTGTTATGCTGGGTACAGGCTTCATGAGTGTGTGGCCAATCCATTTCCATTTTCTCTGGCAGTTGATTTGTCCGTTGCCATAGAACATAGTTTCTAATAGTTTTATGCCAGCGAATTCGCAGGATCTTTCTGAGACATGAGTTTATAAATGATTGTATTTTCATCTTATTTGTGGCAGTTATTATCCATGTGTCAGCCCCATAGAGTAAAACAGGTTTTACTAATGAGTTGAAAAACCGGATTTTTATTCTAAGTTTTAAATCGTCAGAACCCATGCTTCTGTCCCACCCTGCTTATCAACAATAATTTGAAGGTAGGTGAATCTATCCACTTCTTCTAGCGCTTCTTCTGCCAATCTTATAGGGTTGCTGTTTGATGCATTGACTTTGAGAAATTTACTTTTCCTTCTGTGGATGTTCAGACCCAGGCATGTAGAAAAATTAGCAGCTGTGGGTTTTATCTAGCGTCTTCCGTTGCGTGTGAGAAAGAAGAGCCAGGTAATCAACAAAGTCCAGGTCATCCAGCTGGTTCAACTTTTTCTCTGTTGACCTCTTCAAAATCCAGTTTTATTTTGCAGATCGAACATATCTGCTAGGTATTATACTCTCTCCAAACACACATTATCGTTAAAGAATATCAAAAGGTCTTGCACTTCCAAGAACAACTTGATTTCGTCTGTCAATTAAAAAATACGATTCACAATATTTCCTTTTGACAGCCAGCGTACTGTTGTGTAGAAAAGCAGAACCTCGTGATCAGAATTTATTTCTTTGCACAGTTTTTTAAACAGGCGAGTGTTTAGGGATCTGTATTTAATATTATTTATGACTATTATTATCGAATTAAGTGCCTCTAGCAATGGAGTCAGACGAGTCTTGCTGGCGAGGGCATACTGGTTAACTATGCATTGAATTCCTCATGATTGCAGAGTTAATATATTGAGCGCTTTTTTATTTGAACATGCAATTCTTTTTTCTATGCTGTGTTTATGTTATGGGTAGATCATAGATGATCACTTCTATATGGATAATTTGTAAAAATAATTATGGGATATTGCTTTTGTAGGTATGTTGCCATGCGGCAACATGTTGCGTATAAGGGTAAAAATTTCAGTAGTTGCTAAATGGCAACAAGCTAAAAAGTTTTAGTATAAACAAAGATAAACACGCTCTAGGGCAGCACTAACTAAAGATTTATTAGACATATCAATAATATATGTATTTCAACACATATTGGTAATTATCACATACTACTAAAACACATAAAATGTATTTATTTATATACGAAACTGATAAGAAAGAGATAAACTTCCAAAACTTCTGTTGGATGCTTAGTATTGAAATCAATGATCACATTATTTAATTGCATTATAATCCTAACCCTTAGTTTGGACCAAACACAATAAGTACTATTATTTATCTGTTTAGGTAAATTTGGAAAGTATTATGAATAACTTAGTAAAACATATCTTTATTTTTTATCACATGAGAATATTGTAGCTAAAATAAGTTGCTATAGCAGTTTTCCTAATGGGATTGACACACGTGTGTATTTCTTGAACTTGCTTGTTGTAGTAAGTTTCTGATAGCTAAGAGATTTATAAAAAAAAAAACTTTTACGAGCACATAAATTGTCCAGTGATAGCTGTTCTTTTAGCCGCACTGTGGTACATTACACTTTTTACCCCCTTACATTATTGTGATTACTAAACTATCTACCAGATAATAACCATATATTCTAGCTGCTGGAATATTTACAAATATTTACAACACTAACATATATTATGATGGCTAACAAATATTTTCCTAGCACTTTTTAATTTTTTTTTACAAAACTTAATTATTTACGCAATTCCCATACAATTATCACTTTACAACAAGAGAGCCAATTATATTATTATATTAGTATCTTTTATATCCTCATAATTGTCCACAACTTGTAGATTTTATTTGTTGGTCCTACAATGGTGTGGTGTCAGACACTTTATTTCTGGTGTGGCATAATCTGTTTCTTCTGAGAGAACTTGTGCCGTGTTTTATATTTCTTCACCTGAATAACACAAATAAAAATATCAAGTTACCCACCATTTAACTGTAGGCTACTGGAATAAGACTTACTGTGTCAATAGTACACACACATTTGTTTCCCTATAAGAACAGGTTAACATTTCTAACAATAATTAGTCATACAAATATGCTCGTGTCGTCAATAATATTTCTGCGCTAAATAAACCCTAAGGTATAATTAATTATATTGGTAATTCAGGCTAGATATTCTGACATGCAGTGTGCCCAATCAATATAGATACATTATCAATAAATAGTGTCATTGATTACTATCTTGTAAATATTTTTTTATAATTACAAAGCTCCTAAATCTATTTGTAACTAACCGTCATGATTTTGAAATGCATCTAAAGTGTTTCCTGGTTATCTGTTTGGTGAAGCTTCTAACTTTTCTTTTCGTGTTACTCTAATAAAATTCTCTAAAATCCATTGGTATCAGTAACTAGCAGCTTCTGAAAAAAAACAATTAAAAAATTAAAAACTAAATCATATAGGCTAGGATTATATTATAAGTTTTATTAGCCGATAGTCAAATATATTGTAAAGTTTATATACGTAATACTACAACTATTCTAAAT